ATTGACATTTATTCACAAGTGTCTTTGGTTTAGGGAAGATAGGATTTCTGCTCAGTTTCCCTATTTTACTTGTCCCAGCTTACTGGCCTATCATGCATTCAACTTTCTTTGAACATTTCTCTTTTCCTTCTCATCACATACACAACCTTTCTAAATTTTATACTTTCAAATTAGCCTTTAAACCTTCTAACTATGCCTCAGACCTTCTACTCAGAATTCCTTATTCTTAAAAACCTCAATCCTTTAATGATTACCATAAAGTAAACAGCCAGTATTTCTTAGATTACTAAGAGCAGGTGCTTCTTCCCCTATGCAATTTCAAGTATACTGTATCAGTCTAATTTAGTATCGGAAGGGTTAAAGAGAGCGAAACGGGGCAGAGAAACTTGTTGTGCTTAGTAGCAGCTTGCGGCCTTGAGTCCAACATAGTTCAGATAAGTAAAGACATAACAAAAACTATCTCTCCCTGCTCTCCCTGCCGCCGCCCCCCCTTTGCTGCATTAACCATTTCCTTAGCTGCTCTCCCTCCTAGATTTTTCCTCTTTTAAGCCCCAGAGGCTCAAATCCTTCTCCTCTTTTACTACTTTTGACCTATCTGCCTCCAGCCTAAGGCTCCTCCATCTCAGCAGGCTGAGAGTCTACTACTCTATCTAGTGAATCCTACCGCCACTACCCCATCTCACACCCACTCCGGAGCAGTTTTCAGCTCTCTTCCAGCCCCAGTTAGAGCAGATGCTGTCCCCTGACTTCTGACCAGCGGTCCAGGGTCAGAGACAAAGGAGTAGAGGTAGACTGGCCCATGACTAAAAACAAACACACACCAATGACAAGAAACAAAGAACAGAAGACAAGGACAGACACAACACGTTGAGACAAAAAATCAAAGGATCCAAAAAGAAGGTTTTTCAAAGCCAATTGACCCAGCTGGCAACAGAGTTTCAGAACAAACGAGAGGAATCCAGGCGCCCCTGGTCCTCTCCAGACTCCACCAGGGCGTCCCCCGGGGATGTGGCCTGCGACCTCCCGACACGTCTGTCAGCCGCAGTCGGGGGAGGCTCACGCCCCTCCCCGACAGCCACCAGACCGAACAGATTTGCCAGCTCCGCCATCACTTACCCCAAGAAGCGTCTGTTGGAACCCAGAGGCGGCTGCAGCGATCTCGGTGGGACCTCCAAAATGTAACGCCCTGGACGCAAGCCGCTGTCACAAAGAACCAAGAGACGCTTCTCATGCAAAAAGCAAAGGGTTTATTGATGCCAGCATGCTGGGACTCGCAGCCTCACTCTGAGCACAGAGTAGCGGTTGTGAGCCCGGACTAAGAGTTTAAGCATATCTTATATATCTTTCAGTGGGGAGGGGGTTGGAGTAAGGGGAGGAGAAAGGACTGTGCTCTGCCGATTGGCCAGGCGCAAGTCGATGTCTTGTTCCTGGGTGTGGCTAGCAGAGTCTTAGACTTCCGGGAAGACGCACGTGGCCAAGGTAAGATGGAGGACGTAGCCCTTACCCTGGGGCAAGGTGGAGGGCCTAGCCCTCGCCCTTTCATTTTCACTTGGTTGAGGGTTGAGAGTTTTGTTTGGCTTTGAAAGGATGTTTTCATGCCAAGGTTTGAGTCTAGTTCTTTGTTAATTTGGTCCATCTTGTTCAACACAAGAGGAGGAGGATCCAATTGCCATTGCACCCACATTCTGTAGGTGGATATTGGTCATTTTGCTATTACCTTTTAAATAATGAATTGATTAATTAATCATTCATTTATTGAGTACCAGTTATGTGCAAGTTACCGTGACTGGGGTTGATAATATATAGAGAAGACATGCCCTGTCTGGAAGGGGCTTATGATAGGTTGCTCAGCAGATACTTAAACAGGCATAATATGTAGTACAATATAGAGCCTGCACTGGTAAAGGTATCCACAGCGTGCTATGGAAGCTCTCAGGGATGATAACCCATGCTGGGAACCCCTCTGTTCTTGGAGGAGGTGATATTTGAGCTGAAGTTGGAGAGCTGAGGAGGTGCTACTGAGGTGAACTTGGTGAGAAGGGAACTTTTAGCAAAGGGAGGAAAGCAAGCATGGAAGAAGATGGTCCAGTGAAGTGGCTAGAGGACAGTGTGCCAGGAGGGAGTGGTAAAAACAAGGCTGGACAAGCTGGCAGGAGCCAGATCCTGAGGGGCCTTACGGTTTGGACATGTGTTTTGGAGGGATCTCTTTGCTGTAGTGCAGAGTACAAATTGGGGTGGGGAGAAGTGGCAGCAGCAAGGTCTGTTAAGAGTTTTCCAGTGACCCAGGTGGAAAATGAAGCACCAGCGTGGAGTTGCAGAGGAGGGAAGGATTCACAGACTCTGGATGTGGCAAATGACAGAGAGGGAAGCATCAGGATGAAACCCAGGATTCTAGGACTGGCCAGTGCACGGACAGTGCTGCCATTCCCTTGACATCGGGTATATTGCAGGAGGCACAGGTTCTGAGGAAAGATGGCGAGTCTTGGGCATGTGGAGCTGACAGTGTTGGTGGGACATCGGTGGAGAGAGAAAAGCTAGTGGAGCCAGGATGGGACCTAGACCTCCCTGGCTCCAGAATTCATGTTTTTCTCTCCAAATTAGATAAGTGAGTGTTATCATTGAAACCAAGAGGAGAAAAAGTCACAGAAGTGTCAAACAGTAGCAAGTGCTGCAGGGTTCAAGAAATACCAGGAAGGAACTCCTTTGAATTCAGCCATTAGGTTATTAATGACCTCGACAGAAGCCCTTTAAACCAGCGGTTGCCAACCGGTGGTCTGCGGACCACTGGTGGTCCGTGAGGTCCGAAAGGTTGGTGAGCGCTGCTTCAAACCACTGGAATCCCCAGGAGCCAGAGGTGAGGATGTGGAAGTAATAAGTCAGCAAAGGTGGACTCCTCTTTCTGTAAGTTTAGCAGGGAAGACAAGGAACAAGCTGTGGCTGTGGCAGTAGTGAGAGGATTCTAGAGATGTCTTTTCAGAGTGAGAAGAGCTTGAGCATGTTTCTGTGGCCCTGCATGGAGGAGATGCAGGAGATAATTAGTACAGAGGGGCAAGCCCCCTGGAGAAGGGCAGCCTAGAGAGCACTTGGTGTACTTGCCTTTATAGGAGGACACTTCTAATTCTGTAGAGAAAGAGGTAAATAGAGGTGCAGTTGCTGGTAAGTTTATGGTGGGGAGAGTATAGCAGAAGCAGCTTGAGTGCTCTCTAGGCCACCCTTGCCTGGTAGCTTCTATTTTTTGTGTGACCTAGCAGACTGCCGAGGAAGAGGATTAGATGGGGGGATTGAGAAAGTGTTGAACCTTTGAAGCAGGATTGTAGATGTTGGAAGAGAGAGCTGCTTAGGAATCCATGGAAGGATTTGGGTGCTGTCAGCAAGTGGAGTCACTGGCTTGCTGAGTGAGTTATTTTCTTCACCAGGGCCTGGCTGCAGCAGCTGGAATTCACATGTCTGAGTTTATCTAGGAATGGACTTTGCTGTAGAGCAGGAAAAGGGGTATAACTCAATATTAGAGGTCAGAGAGTGGAGTTGTAGGGAGAGAAGAGAGGCCAGGATGTGGCTGGCAGATTGGGAGAAAATGGAGGTGTTGCAGAATCAGAAACTGCAGTGAGCTTGAACAGCCAGTGTAGTGACAGTGAGTGAGAGGGAAATACAGCCAGAAAGCGGGCTATGAAATGTAAGCCTTCAGAAGAGGAGCAGCGGCAGACAGTGGGAAGGTGTGATATGTTGGATGGACACTGAAGTCACCTAGATGGTCCTAGCTATGGGATGGTGAAGAAGACGGGGACCCAGGTCCTAGCGACTGATGGCTGCCATGAGGTTGGGAGTTTACAGTATTTAGGGAGGAGTAGGGGAGTCATCTAAGTGGATGGCTTCTAATAAAAAGAGTAGAAGTTTTGTATGGAGGTGAACGAATTGGTTGAAAGTGGCAATTGGAAAGGAGAGGGAGGACACACCTATTGTTGGCCCTGTTTGCTTATAAAGTTGGTGTCCAGCTTCCCCTCAAGAGTGTGGAGGAGAAGCTGTGCCCTGTGGTCATCCAGGCCTCAGGTAAGGCCAGGAGGTGAAGGGAGTGTCTGGTGGAAAGATTCTGGATGTTGACGAGCTTGGTTGTCAGGTGTCCCAGAGGGACCATGGGAAGGAGAAGAGAGCAGTGGGAGGACAGGTCCAGGGCTGGTGACAATAAGACTGAGAAAAAAGAGATCAGACAAGTGACTGGAAGGACTTGAATGGTGGACAGTGACCAAGGAGGAAAGAGAGGTGAGGTCTGGTGGCATAAGTTGGTCTCAGGTTCCCAGATATCTCAGTGGCAGTTCAGGCTGCAGCTTCAGATTCTGTCTGAGTATTGGTGAAACATTTTGGTGACTGTGGGGCAAACCAGTTTGAGAGAGCAGGGAAGAAGAAGAAAAAAACCAATGCCACATGGAAGTATGGAATGGGAGTGGAGAGCTGAAAATGGCCAAGTGAGAATGAGGGGGCTTAACACTTAGGAAAGTCAGTTCCTGGATATTAGAAAGGAAAACTGAGTGACATTGTCAAAAGTCTGATTTTCACGTATGAATTTCTCTTACAACCTACTTAAATTATTTTGCATTTTGAGTTTTATACTTGTAAGAATTTCCTGATGTACACCTATCTCAAAGGTACACTTAACTATTGCTGTCCCATGTACCTTAAATGAAAACTTTCATTTTTACCTTAAAACTTTCCTCATGCTGCTTCTATGTAGAAAATTTGAGGCAGTTGTCAGCAGGAGCTGTGAGCCCAAGTCACCTTTATTGTGGCTTATCTGGTCACCTCACTTCTATGGGTCTCCGTTTTTTAGTTTGGCTTAAGCTGCCAGCAGAAATACATAGTCAAGACAAATTCTAGTCCTTGGTTAGTTTACTTTTAATGGCTACATAATTAGAGCAAGCCACTCAGAGATCTTAAAACCATGCAGAGAAAACAATTCTAGAGAACACATTTGTTTTTTCTTTTTTTTTTTTTTTTCTTTTTTGTAGCTTTCCAGCCATCTAGTCCATCTCCTCTTCAGCCCCAGGGTCCAGTGAAGTCCAACAACATTGTGACGATCACTGGGATATCCCTGTGCTTGTTCATCATCGTTGCCACCATCCTCATCACGCTGTGGAGGAAGTTTGGCCGTCCCCCGAAGTGTGGCACCCCCGCCCGACACAACTCCATCCACTCCCCAAGCTTCCGGAAGAACTCGGACGAGGAGAACATCTGTGAGCTGAGCGAGCAGCGTGGGAGCTTCTCGGATGCAGGTGACGGGCCCTCGGGGAGCCCGGGGGACATGGGCATCCCCCTGACCTACAGGCAGAGTGTGCCAGTGACTCCTGAGGACGAGGCCTCTGGTAGTGAGAGCTTCCAATCCAACGCTCAGAAGATATCCCCCTCTATTTAGCTACCGGCTTGCCCAGCAGCAGTTGAGGAGATGAAGAAGAAAGACATGACGAGACCAACAAACGGTGAGATGGTGTCCCGAAGACACCAGAAAAACCCCGCCATCAGT